TACCTTCACCCTTCGTCGTAAATCAATGACTTCCTGTCCTTCAGTATCCTTTAACAACACCTCAATTATTCCTGTTGAACAAATCCGTTACCTAGGACTCCATCTGGACAAACGTCTAACTTGGAATCCTCATACCAGACTGAAACGACAAGAAACAGCTCGACATTTCCGACTACTTCAATACTTACTAGACAAAAGCTCTAACCTTCCAATCAATTATAAAATACTGATTTACATGACTATAATAAGGCCTATTTGGACTTACGGAGTTGAGCTATGGGGCTCTACTAAACCTTCAAATTCCTCTCGCATACAATCTTTACAATTTAAAATTCTTCGTAAAATCCTCAATGCTCCTTACTTTGTTACAAATAAAATTATCCATAATGACCTTAATGTTCCTTAATGAAGAAGACTTTAGCCAAGTTTCATTGGAAACGGTACATTCGTTTAGGCGCTATAGTCTATAGTAACGCAGGTTTTTCGGTGCCCATATTGAAAGGAAAAGGCGGATAGAAATGTCGATGAAGGAGGATCATCCTCTGGTGATCTCTAATTTTATATCCAAATTTGAAAAAAAATCGGTCCAGTAGTTACCGGGAAAATGCGCGGACGGCGGACGGACAAATAATTTTTTATTCGTTTTTCGAATTCTACGTATCCTGAAAGGTAAAACCTCAAATTTTGAGAGAAGGTTAAGTTTTTGTTCTTTAACAATGGTTCATTATAGAAAATAATAAACCAAAAACATATATCTGATTCCCAAAAAGATTAAATACTAAATAGATATAACATAGATTTGGTATTTAACCACCATAACCATCAGAACGGTCCCTCTCCCTTCAATGAAAGGTCTTGTGCTACGTATGTTACCCTTAGCTATCCCCAATCCTTAAAATGCCCTCGGACAGTGGAAGGACCCTCTTCTTTGTATATATTTATATTTGTTATACTTATATATTTAATTGTAATTAAATAATATTTTTGGAAGCTCAGAAAAAAAAACAAAAAACCTCAACATAAAAAACTATTTAACTAAATAAGCCCACTTTCCCTTTGTCTGAAAATACTTATTTCTGCTAAGAGAGTGGTTAATGAGTGGGGGAGGCTTTGGGGCTGAAGCCTCCCAAAATGGTAAAGTATAACCATTTTTATGGAATAATATTAAAATAATATCTCTTAAAGTATTATTGTTCGTGTAATTACATTTGAAAGGACTTTAGGAATCACTTAAACACAATTTTATATAGGTTGTTAGTTTCTTTCTTTTTTTTCAAATTAATTATCGTTATTTTTATGAAAAATAAAGCTTTCAGGCTGAAGTCCTCCCTCCCACCAAAATTAAATTCTGGATCCGATATTGGCAGTGATTTATTAAAAACAGAATCAATTAATAGCACTTCAACAAAAACATAGTTATTAGTCATCTTCTTTCCAAATCCTATGGCAGTTTTTCAAATTAAAGTAAATTGGAAACCAAGGTTAAAGACTAGTAAATTTTGTTTGGTATTGAGTTCGTAATTGAAGGATAAATGATTGTTCTGTATGTACACCTAATTAAAATATTGTTTTTGTTTGAACTTCTGTTGGATTAAATTTGCTGTTTTTACGCATCATAATAGATAAATATTTATTTAAATTCATATTCATATTCACTTTCATTAACTGTAGCTGTTTTATCTAAAAGTTTTGTAGTATTTTAAAATGTAAATAAATCATAAAAAAAGAACATTAAATTAAAATAAGATATACACATCTCAAATATTAAAGAACATAACAAATAGTAGTTTTGTTTTTCTTTTTTTTAGTCTTGTATATTTAAAATATAAGATAACTTGCTTTTTTTAAATAAAACTTTAACAAAAAATGTATTTTATTTTATATTTTTAAATACTTTATTTGTATTAGTGCCGAAGTTTGGTGCATACTTACTACACAGCCATCTTGCTCCATAGTACGTAATGCAGACTGGAGGTTTAGAAATCTTCAAGACACATTGCTGTGAGCTTCAGCACACTTATTATTGCTACCTAATAATAATATTCGTAAAGTATGGTGTTCATTTTATGAAATAGATCATATAGAATTATTAATATTAAATATATGTTAATTTATATTAAATAAATATATGTTAATGAAATATTTTATTAAGATGCTTATCACAATGATATTTATATAATGGTAAGTTAATCAAGGGATAGGTGAATTGAAGTTCTCAATTTTCCATATTTTCTTGTTTATTTCTTTAAAAATTCAAATGATTTTTTCGCGAAACCAGAGAGACTCCATCCCGGTTTTTTGGCTACCACTGGAGTTTCTGGTTCTGCAACTGATACTTCAGGGGCTGGAGTTTCTTTTTCTGATGGGACGTCTTGTCCAATAGGAGCTGGAGTTCCTTGTTCTGTCGTTATTTTTCAGTATCTGCTGTTGTTATTTCTTCTGTAGGTTTGTTTGTTGCTGGAGTTGGAGGTGGTGTTGTTTTTGGTGGTAGAGTGGTCGTTGACGTTGGGGGTGGAGGTGGATTGGTTTCGGTGCTGGTGGTGGAATGGTTGTTGGTGTTGGGAGTGGAGGTGGATTAGTTTTCGTTGCTGATTGTATTAGTGTTTGAGGTGGAGTAGTTTTCTGCTGTAAGGTGGTTGCTGGGGCTGGAGGTGAAGTGGTTGTCGGTGTTGCTTATTGAGGGAATGGATTTAGATGCTATAAACAAAAATGTATATTAGTATACATGCATGTGTATATATATATATATATATATATATATATATATATATATATATATATATATATATATATATATATATATATATAATAAAGTAAATATGTATATAATACTGTCATCATTTATAAGTTATTACAACAAGTAGGGAGTAGAAGCATGAGTAATAACTCCCAAGTTACCAATACGTCGAAATACTTAAGGCTCCAATTGGTGGTTCTGATCGCGTACAAGTTATAAACCTGCATCTCCTTCGGTGTACCAATCGATCACAGTTATTGCCAAATTCATAGATATTAGGCGAAATTTTGACTCTCGGGCAGACAGAGAAAAATAAACAAAATATTAGTGTCAAATAAACTTGGATAATAAATGTCCGAAGTGAGAAATAATCATGGAAGAGTAGATTCCGAAAGTGAACAAAACAACCAAGTAAACAACAACCGGTGAGAATCATCGAGAACAAAGAGAGGAAAAAGATTAAAACCGTAATAAATAACGGAGTGGGCAGACACTTAGCAGCCAAGTAGCTTAATATCTGTGCTAGTGGGCGGTGCTGAGGCTGTCGGTGTGTCCCTGGCCTGAGGTTTCCAGACGGTAGATATAAGAAGTATGATGGGAGTTGTGAGTTTGGTAGAAGAAATTTTCAGAGAAGTATTGACGGCGGAAGGATGGGACAACTCACTTTAACTCACTATACACTTGTATAATACACTCATAGTACACTTGTACTGGGTGCATTTGCCAAGATTCAAGAAGACCTTGATCTAATCAATGCCTGAGCAAATGTAAATGGATTAAAGTTAAATGCTGCCAAAACTCAGGCCATTGTCATTGGTTCCAAGCCACTTATTAGATCCCATACTGACTTTCCCATATTACACCTTAATGACCAGCCAATTTCCTTCTACTCCTCTGTTAAAAATTTGGGATTTTTCATAGATCAAACCGTCTCCTGGACCTACCATATTTCTCACATTTCCCGTCGGACAATTTCTACCCTTAAACTATTTCATCGCTTCCGCCATCTCCTACCTCAACATATCCGTAGACTCCTAATTTCCTCTCTCATCTTCCCCCACTTTGACTACAGCTGTGTGGTGTATGATGGCCTCTCGGTGGAGCTCCGTGATAGACTGAAAAGATTAATGAATAGCTGCGTAAGATTTGTTATTGGTGCCCCGAGGTACTCCCATGTCTCTCACCACTACACTGATTTAAGGTGGCTCTTCCCCTCCTTCCGAAGACAATATTTTCTAGGTACGTTCCTCTACCAAATCATCAACAACCATCGTCCTTCTTACGCCTACAACCTTCTCCAGTTCAAATCCTCAGTCCATTCCCTGTCCACAAGATCTCGACCTTCTGACCTTTACATGCCTTCTCACAGATCTGCCTCATTCCAAAATTCCTTTATTGTTCGCTCTGTCAATTTCTGGAATTCCCTCCCTATCAAAATTCGACATTCCCCCTCCATATCCACATTCAAATCCCTCCTATTCCAATTCCTATCACAAAAACAGTCAGATACTTGCTAACCATTCGAGCGGATTTTAATAGAGAATTTGATACATTTTTATTTTTTAATTCTTTATTTTTTTCGGAAAAGTGTATACTGGTCTATAAGAGCAAATAGCTTTAAGTGTCTTGTCATAGTATTAATGGTTTTGTATATAGTTTAGTTTGTTTTGTATATAGAATTTTTACCTTATATTTTTTTTACATTATTTCTTTTTTTCGATTGATTTTATTTTGGCCAGATGTAATATTTTGATTTTGTTCTATTTTGTTATTCTCAAGGGACTGTGTCCCAGAATAAAGTTATTTTTCTATCTATCTATCTATAATAATAATAATAATTAAAAAAGGCTTAGCGAACCCGAAGGTTCGATGCCGACACCACCATACACTTGTATAGACACTATAAAAATTTTGTATGAATTCGTAAAAAATCTTTTCGAAATTTAGCGATATAAGGGTCTGTTACTAGTATAAAGGAGGCGTTTTTTTATGTAAACAATATCGAATTGAAGAATGCATGCTTGAATATGTTTTTATGAAAACATTAACGATTTTAAGATCACGCATTCATATAGTGAGTTATATAGAGAGTTAATAGTTGAGATGGTAGACATACCCATTTATTTAAACGAAAACATTTCCAACTTCGAAAACTATTCCAGATTGTATCTAAATTGCTTTACTTAATTTAACACAGTCTTAACTAAAGATATTAGATTTTGTGTGTGTAAACATGTATTTATAATTAAAAAAGATTAATTACCTTCAAATCCTCTATTGCATCAGCAATGTATTTTTGACTATTCTTAATTTGTTGGTTCAACACAGTTTTCCCCATGTTAGCACAGTTGTTGGCTATCGTCGATGCAGCTAAGAAGGGGTTTCCAGTGAGGATAGCATTTATATTTGCCTTGATGTTTTTTGCTATCTGATTGATGTTACTTATAGCTTGATCAGAAACCAATTGGATGTTCTCTTGCTGGTGTTTAGCAACAGAACTGATGAAGCCACTGATCGAGAAGGCATGGCTGCATACCGCCAAGCAGACTAGGACAGCAAAGATTGACAACTTCATGGCTGTGATAACCGGGAACGATTGACACCTTCTGGATGTTTTAGACTTTTTATACTTATTCAAAGAATGGCGATGTTGATCTGTCAATATTTGGATGATTGTTTACTAGACAAATTAAATACGAAATATTGGCTTATTAGTTGAAATGCATATAGTACCATACAATGTTGCCAATTCAACTACCAATATCTATTATTTCATAAAGTTTCGTTATTGAACTTATAGATTTAAGCCATCACAAATCATCACTAATCACATGGAAAGTAAACTGGAACAACTTTCATCATGACCTAGAAAACAATCTAGATTTAAATATTTCGTTAAAATGCAGATTGATTCTGCTATTGAAGAATTCAAAAGATCTATAGAAACCACCATCAATAACAACACATCACACCCCAAAATTATACATTACTGAGGGGCTAATTTTCGAAATCATCATAGCACATTAGTAACAGAAAAACTTCGGGCAATAGCCAGGTGGCATAAAACCAGAAACCCATCGTCGTAAACATACTATACCTTCTCCTACAGTATCCTTTAACAGTATTCCACTGATAACTGTCGAACAGATCCGTTATCTAGGATTCCTTCTTGATAAACGCCTTACTTGCAATCCTCATACTAGACTTAAAAGACAAAAAACTGTCAATAGATTCCGAACACTACAACACTTACATGACAAAACAATCTAAACTTCAAATATTCTTAAAAAAAAAAAAAAAAACTCATATACATTATCATCATTAAATAGGATTAAGATTTGCGATTCAACGAAATCATCAAATTCTTCCCGTATCCAATCTTACAACCCAAAGCCCTCCGTAAAATCTGGAAACCAAATTTGATCTTTGATGTCTGAAACGTAAAACGCGGGTGAAAATTTTCGATTCTGAGCATAATTTTTTAATCTCTCGCACGAGTACGAATACTAGTACAAAGCTTCTCTACCTTCGGTAATAAGGAAAGAAAATATAATTTTCTCATATCTTCTATTGCTTGACTTAAATATTTGCGTTACATTATGATTTTACATATCCTTGTAAATTCTTTTTCTTAAACCATTGTATATTGGGCATTTAATTAATATATGATAAAGTGTCTATTTTTACATAGTATTGAACATTTTGCACTCAAGTTGTAGAATAATTTTTACTATTTTAGGCGGATCTGCAATATTAATCGTGTATATTTGAAATGGTTTTTCTTTACTAGCCGGACGGGACTGACTGCTATCTGCCAATGTTTATAACCTGAGCACTGATAATTCCGATAAGGCAGTGATAATCCTTCTCGGAATTCCTATCTTCGTATTATTGTATTATATTCGTATTATTGAAAGTGTAAACAGAAACAAAATCAAATGTAATAACAAAAAATATACTTTTATTTTAAGACACATATATTAATGAAATAATAAAAAAACACTTAAAGAACATATGTACATATAAAAGATCAAAATGAAATAATAAAAAAACACTTACAGAACATATGTACATATAAAAGATCAAAATGAAATAATAAAAAAACACTTACAGAACATATGTACATATAAAACAAAAAATATCAACAATAAACGACATATGAAGAATTTATTTTCGCTTCGTCTTATTTATTTTCGGAAGCAAAATAGTTTTATGCTATTTAAAATAGCGTGGATCAGGTCCTCTTCTTTGTGAACCCGCTGCCACAAAAATTCACATAAATATGAATCGAGGTGTTGTCTGGCAGTTCCTCTATGTACTTTATTTCTCCACGTAGCTGAGCCCCACAATCGTTCTATGTCTTTAGTATGAACCCCAGTTGATGGATCGACAAAATTATAGCGGTGATTCACTTGGAAATAGTCATGGTTTGCTCCGTTCAGTTGTCGGGTGTTGTAGCCTTTCCAACAGTCCGAATAAATGGTCGTTCCCTCTTCTATATTGTCTTTAATTGCTTGTAATAAGGTTGTTGCATTTCTGTCATTTATTTTGACCCAGTAAATCCCAGAATGTAACAAGATTCATAATTTGACGAAAATAAACTTAAAAAAAAATGAAAAATTAACACAAACGGGCCAAAAATAAAGAATTTAATAAGTGAACGTAATAAGGGAAGAATTGAAAAATAAACAATGTGATAACTGAAAGGTTTGGTGGGATAAGAAGAGGGAGGTTATGTGACATGACATTAGATAACATAGATAAGAAGTGAGGTTACTACTCGGCCTGCTAGTGAAGTAGTACCTTTGAAATTAGTCAGCATCACTAGCGGATCCAGGATTTAATTTTGGGGGGGCTTCAGCCCGAAACCTTTTTTTTTCATAAAAATAACGATAATTACTTTGGAAAAACAGAAAGAAACTAACTACCTGTATGAAATCGTGTTTAAGTTATTCCTTAAGTACTTTTAAATGTAATTACACGAACAATAATACTTTAAGAGGTATTTTTTAATATTTTTTTCCATAAAACATGGTTATATTTTTCCATTTTGGGGGGAGGGCTTCAGCCCGAAAGCCCCTCCCCCGTAGATCCGCCCGTGGTCAGCATCAACAAATACTGGAAGATCTAACCATTGTTAAAAAAAAAAAATCAAATGTTCTATCAGCTGAGCTATGCAACGTTTTCTTTTCAGCTTCCTGCAAATGTCGTTTATACTTATTTAATAGATTTGCTCTAATTATGGCTGAGGGAGGCTGGGGCACACCCAGTCTCTATAAAGTTGGTTCACTTAATTAAATAATTGATTAAGGGGGGGAATCCTGGCGGTTGAGCGTGATCTCGATCAAATCACCACCTTGCACAACCGTTGACCTAGAAACAGTACTTTACCTAAATAGTACTGAACCCAAGACCCTTCATGGATTGTAGTGGTACAGATTAATAAAAGTTAAGGTTAATGGCTGAGTTGGTTTCATAAATTATATCGTCTTCACCAATAGTATCTAACAATATTTTCAGCTGAACACACTTATTTCTTAGCTTTTCGAAACATATTTTATGCTATCTAAATTCCTCCATTTATACATAGACCCTGTTTCTAAGCGAATTAAAACGTCTGGGAATGATTTACAATGAAAAAATGTCGTTTTATAAAATATATGTTGACCATTTCTAAGAACTCTATGTATCGGAGACTTCACACTAGGGCACAATATAGCAAAGATGTATTAATGATAGCTTTTTCACAACTGTTCTCTGTTCTTCCAAGAGTTCGTTTTAACTTTTGAACAAATGTTAATTACTGTGCCTATAGTGTAGTTTGACTTTGAAATTGCTGTCTTGATCGCTCGCAAAAACTAAGCTGATTTAAATTAATATAATTTAATACTTTTAATTTATTAGCATCAGTGTCAATGGCGGCGCGCCAATTTTATAGGTAAATTTTACCTATTTTATAGCTAAAATAGAGAAATGCTGTTTCTACTGCTTTTATTTATTATTTTATTGTTATTCGAGAATATTAGTCTGCCAACAAGGCCTCAAAGTTTTAACTTCTAAATATTACAGTAAAAATTAGGTTGTTCAATATTCTATTAAATATCTCAAACAAAGGCTGAATATTTCCACTGATTATTACAAAACCACGTAACCTGTAAAGATATTTTTATTTAGAAGGAGGGAAGGTAGGAGAAAGAAAAACAATCAGGCTTTTGAAATAAAAATGTATTCTTTAAAAGTGTTATATCAAAACCAAAGGCTTACAGTCATTTATTTCTCCAACAATTCTTACATTACTATGGCAGTTTTAGTCCTTTTATATTTTATAAGGTGGAACAGTGTCCGGTATATGTAAATAAATCAAGAGTTTGCTTTCCACTTCAAACAATTAGAATAGTGTAGTTTCATTTAGGCGTTGATTGGTGCGTGAATATACGGAAAAAAGAAGAGAAATTGTAATGGCCTCCTATAAAGTAACCACTTCTTTAACAACGATGATATAGACCAATCCTGTTTTGCCATGAGCGGAAGAGGAAGCATATTTTCATAAGCTTCTTTATGAGAAATAATAGATCCACTAGCTGATGGTATTGTAAGTTTTTCAAATTCATTAATGGTTCCATAATTTGCTGGTATCAACAATGGGGTTCAAGAACCACGAATTCTCGTGGTCGAACATTGCTGTCTGTACTCAATTCCCAAAATTTTACCCTTCTTCCACCCAACTCACCTACCTACTGGCCCACTGATCCTAACCGTAATCCCGATATCCTCGATTTCTTTATCCATAATGGTTTAGGTGCTCTCAACCATTCCGTTGTCCGTCTTGACGAGCTTTCCTCAGACCACAGCCCATTAATACTCCAAGTATCACTAGCTCCTATTCCTAAACCCTCTCCTCCGTCCTTCATCAGAGGCCCAGTTAACTGGAAACTCTTTCATCAAATCCTCTCCGATAAAATTGACGTCAGAGTAACCCTGAAAACCTCTGAAGACCTGGACAATGCAGTACATTCCTTCACTACCAAAATTCAAGAAGCAGTCTGGACTGCTTCCTCCCCTGATCACTCCTCAAAAATCCTTAAGAAACATAATTTACCTCAACACCTCCTTGACCTAATCCACATAAAACGCCGTGCCAGATTATTATGGCAACGTACCAGACATCCAGCCGACCGCCACTCCTACAATTATCACTGTAAAAAATTAAAAAAAGAATTAGCCACCTTCAGATCCCAATCATTCAATTCCTACCTCACCACACTCTCTGCTCATGATAATTCCCTTTGGAATATCACCAGAAAAATCCTCAAATCCCATCATATTTCCCACCCTCTTCGACGAGATGATGGCTCCTGGGCAGCATCTGATGAAGATAAAGCCGAGGAATTTGCCAAACACCTTTCCTATACTTTCGCTCCTCATCCAGAATCCCATCCCAGCCACACAGTAAAAGTAGAAGAATCCCTCTCAATACCTATCCCACTCTCCTTACCACCTAAAGCTGTTAATCCCTCTGAGGTCAAATACCTTTTACGGAAAATCACACCTCGCAAATCTCCTGGATATGACCTTCTAACCCCACAGATCCTTCGACAACTTCCATCTAAAGCCATCATATTTCTTACATATATATACAATTGCATCCTACGAACTACCCACTTCCCTCTTTTATGGAAACATTCCACCATCGTCCTCTTCTTGAAACCAGGCAAACCTTCCAACAATACAGCATCCTATAGACCAATTAGCCTACTCCCAATCCTCTCAAAAATTTTTGAAAAGATCCTACTGAAACGAATCCTACCTATAATTGAATCCTATAACCTTCCTACTCATCAATTCGGATTTAGTTCCCAACATTCCACTGTCCAGCAAGGACTCCGAGTTGTTGACCATATATCCTCAACCCTAGAAAGCAAGCAGTATTGCTCGGGTGCATTTCTGGACATAGCGCAAGCTTTTGACCGGGTATGGCACGCCGGATTACTCTTCAAGCTTAAAATCCATCTACCACAGTCCTTATACCTAGTACTCCGATCCTATCTTTCCGACCGCTCCTTCCGAGTTCGCTGTGGCACCGAATTCTCCGACTGTTACTCAATTGAGGCTGGCGTTCCTCAAGGCAGCGTCTTGGGCCCCATCCTTTACATTCTCTTTACCGCTGATATTCCTGTCCATCCCGATACCCTCCTGGCAACTTTCGCTGATGACACTGCTATCCTTTCTTCCAACTCAGATCCTGAAACAGCGTCCGCAAACTTACAAAGGCACCTCTTCCTGATTGAACACTGGTGTAAGAAATGGCGCATTAAGGTAAACGAATCTAAATGTAAACACATTACCTTCACCCTTCGGCGTAATACTTGCCAACCAGTTTATTTTAACTCCATCCAGCTTCCTTTCTCAGATACAGTCCGGTATCTTGGCTTTCTCTTAGACAGACGACTAACATGGAATCCACATACTCGACTTAAAAGACAGGAACTTAACAGACGATATGGCCAGCTATATAGACTACTGAATAGAAAATCTAAACTTTCTGGTGAAAACAAATTACTGATCTACAAGACAATACTGAAACCCATCTGGACTTACGGACTAGAACTATGGGGAACAGCCAAATTTTCTAACATCAAACGCATTCAATCCTTTCAGTCTAAAGTCCTCCGTACAATAGTCAATGCTCCCTTCTATGTAACCAATAAAACCCTACATCATGACCTTAATATCCCATTTATTCTTGATCTTATCCCAGCCAAATTTTCCAAATTTCACCAGAACCTTTCTCATCACCCAAATCCCGTTGTACAATCCCTATCAAGCACCACCCATCCCTACAATCCCCTTCGTAGGTTAAAGCGGCAGTGGCCACGAGACCTTTTGTAAATATGGATATTTTGGAGTTCTAGCAATGGCCAGATTCTCCACTCAAGTCATGAGTGTCTGTGGCTGTAGCGCTCTTACTCATCCTCCGCTGGTTTAAAATACCAGTGAAGTGGCTGAGGGAGAAGCGTAGGGATCTCCTAAGCCTCCCTTTTCCCTCCACATGTGGAGGGGACAGGATTGGTTCGGAGATCACCTGGCAAATTGTAAATAATGTATATAGGTATGTTTTATATAAGGAGTTTGTTTTACTTTTATTTCTATTTTTATTTACTTATGTATATATATTTTTTTTTCTTTACTCTTTTGTTCTTTCTTCTTATTCTTTTGTTATTACTTTATTTATTTATATTTTTGTATATACGGTATGAATGCAATCTCTGAACTCTATTATAAGTGTCCTTAACTGTGACAAATTGTAATATTTCTGAATAAAGTGTTTTTTAATAATAAAAAAAAAAAAATTAATAAATTTGCTGGTGATTTTGAAATATGGGTCTTTTCTAAATCACCAGCGTTTTCTATCTGATTTTCATGTCCAATCGTAGAAATTTCACTTTTTTCAGGCGGTATCTTTTCTTTAGAAGGGAAAATGGTTTCATTTTCTGATAATACTTCAGGCCTTTCTGATTTGCCTATCACTGTTAGTTTGTCTGAAGAAGCTGTATTTTCATTTTGGTCTAATGGTCCATCCGCCATGGTATCTGTTTGAGGAGTGGTAGAGCTATCAAACATCCCTTCGCTAGTTCCAGACATTTCTGGTTCAGTCTTGCAATCCGATATTAAAGATGCATTTTCAGCATTTGTAGATGATGCAGGGGATTGCTGGACGTCAACTGTACTTTCAGCACCATCAGGAGGTTGCTGGTTAGTAATTGTGCTTTCAGTAGTATCAGAGGGTTGTTGGACAGTAGTTGTGCTTTTAGCAACATCAGTAGACTGCTGATCGGCAATTGTGCTGTCACTGGTAGCAGATTGTAACTGATCAGCAACTGTAATTTCAGTAACAGCAAGAGATTGTTGGTTAGTAGCTGTATTTACAGTAGCATCAGAGGATTGCTGAACGTCAACTGTACTTTCAATAGCAGCAAAAGATTGTTGGTTAATAGCTGTGCTTTCAGTAATATCAGGAGATTGTTGATCAGAAATAGTGCTTTCAGGTATAGCAGGAGATGGTTGGTTAATATATGTGCTTTCAGTAATCTCAGGAAATTGCTGGTAAGAACCTGTGCTTTCAGTAAGACCAGGAGTTTGTTGGTCTGCTCCTGTGGTTTTAACAATGATAAACTCTATTTACTGTTGAAGTAAATTTATTTTGTTTATATTAAAGCAACTTTTAATTACTTAAATTTAAATTTTCTTTAATTGTCGCTTCCTATTCTACAAAAAACTAGACTTACTTAAAAATAAACACAAAACTTAAATTCCTACTTTTCTGCTGAAAATCTGACAAATGTTTATATACAATTTTTTGTAGCTCTTGAGAATTTTCATCATTTCTATAAATATTTCCCACTATTTACAAGACACACTGTACAAACAAAGGTAACATAGTGAAAAGATGGTATATAGCTATAAACATTTTTTTTTATTATTTCTTAATGATATTTACTGCACAGTATCAAATAAATACATCTAGTAAATTTGAATATATGGATATAACGACATGAAAACACTTGCTGAGTAACTAGCCAATGGTAGCACTCTAATAATATGTCTACATTAGGTGATCACGGGGCCATCTTCGTTTCAGACGCCTGGGAGGGTTATTAGGAATCGAAGAGGAAGCAAGGTTAGAAACGAGAGGGTTGAGATGATTCTGATGTTTATTATGGAAGGATAGGTATCTGGATTGGGCAAGATCTGAAACATAAGAAACATTAAGATGATTATGGATTATTTGTAACAAAGTAGAGACGATTAAGGATTTTACAAAGGATTTTGGATTGGATACGAGAGGAATTCGATGGTTTAGTAGAGTCCCAGAGCTTAACTCCGTAAGTCCAAATAGGCCTTATTATAGTCATGCATATGATTCTTTTGTAATTAATTGGAAGTTTAGAGCGTTTGTCTAGTAAGTGCTGAGGTAATCGGAAACGTTGAGCGGTTTCTTGTCGTTTCAGTCTATTATGAGCTATAAACTGAAATTCAAAACTGTACTTAAAATTATTGTGATGCCTGTAAGTATGATATAAGTATATATGATATAATTATGATACATTTGTTCTAATAGTAAGCTTAATGTAGATAATATTTATTTTTAAGCTTCTGTTGTATTAAAAAATTATTAATCAAATACGGCGTGATCTATTTGACGTATACGAATAGATTGATGAACATTTAAATTCATATTCTAGTTCAACACTGTCATCACCACATATGCTGATGACACATGTATCCTATCAGTTAATAACGACCCATCTATTGCATTCCAAACCCTTCAATCCCACATCACAAACCTTGAAGAATGGTGTCAGAACTGGAGAATTAAAATAAATTCCAATAAATCCCATCAAATTACCTTCACCCTTCGTCGTAAACCAATGACTTCCTGTCCTTCAGTATCCTTTAACAACACCTCACTTATTCCTGTTGAACAAATCCGTTACCTAGGACTCCATCTGGACAAACGTCTAACTTGGAATCCTCATACCAGACTGAAACGACAAGAAACAGCTCGACGTTTCCGACTACTTCAACACTTACTAGACAAAAGCTCTAACCTTCCAATCAATTATAAAATACTGATTTACATGACTATAATAAGGCCTATTTGAACTTACGGAGTTGAGCTATGGGGCTCTATCAAACCTTCAAATTCCTCTCGCATACAATCTTTACAATTTAAAATTCTTCGTAAAATCCTCAATGCTCCTTACTTTGTTACAAATAAAATTATCCATAATGACCTTAATGTTCCTTAATGAAGAAGACTTTAGCTAAGTTTCATTGGAAACGGTACATTCGTTTAGGCGCTATAGTCTATAGTAACGCAGGTTTTTCGGTGCCCATATTGAAAGGAAAAGGCGGATAGAAATGTCGATGAAGGAGGATCATCCTCGGGTGATCTCTAATTTTATATCCAAATTTGAAAAAAATCGGTCCAGTAGTTTCCGGGAAAATGCGCGGACGGCGGACGGACAAATAATTTTTTATTCGTTTTTCGAATTCTACGTATCCTGAAAGGTAAAACCTCAAATTTTGAGAGAAGGTTAAGTTTTTGTTCTTTAACAATGGTTCATTATAGAAAATAATAAACCAAAAACATATATCTGATTCCCAAAAAGATTAAATACTAAATAGATATAACATAGATTTGGTATTTAACCACCATAACCATCAGAACGGTCCCTCTCCCTTCAATGAAAGGTCTTGTGCTACGTATGTTACCCTTAGCTATCCCCAATCCTTAAAATGCCCTCGGACAGTGGAAGGACCCTCTTCTTTGTATATATTTATATTTGTTATACTTATATATTTAATTGTAATTAAATAATATTTTTGGAAGCTCAGAAAAAAAAACAAAAAACCTCAACATAAAAAACTATTTAACTAAATAAGCCCACTTTCCCTTTGTCTGAAAATACTTATTTCTGCTAAGAGAGTGGTTAATGAGTGGGGGAGGCTTTGGGGCTGAAGCCTCCCAAAATGGTAAAGTATAACCATTTTTATGGAAAAATATTAAAATAATATCTCTTAAAGTATTATTGTTCGTGTAATTACATTTGAAAGGACTTTAGGAATCACTTAAACACAATTTTATATAGGTAGTTAGTTTCTTTCTTTTTTTTTCAAATTAATTATCGTTATTTTTATGAAAAATAAAGCTTTCAGGCTGAAGTCCTCCCTCCCACCAAAATTAAATTCTGGATCCGCTATTGGCAGTGATTTATTAAAAACAGAATCAATTAATAGCACTTCAACAAAAACATAGTTATTAGTCATCTTCTTTCCAAATCCTATGGCAGTTTTTCAAATTAAAGTAAATTGGAAACCAAGGTTAAAGACTAGTAAATTTTGTTTGGTATTGAGTTCGTAATTGAAGGATAAATGATTGTTCTGTATGTACACCTAATTAAAATATTGTTTTTGTTTGAACTTCTGTTGGATTAAATTTGCTGTTTTTACGCATCATAATAGATAAATATTTATTTAAATTCATATTCATATTCACTTTCATTAACTGTAGCTGTTTTATCTAAAAGTTTTGTAGTATTTTAAAATGTAAATAAATCATAAAAAAAGAACATTAAATTAAAATAAGATATACACATCTCAAATATTAAAGAACATAACAAATAGTAGTTTTGTTTTTCTTTTTTTTAGTCTTGTATATTTAAAATATAAGATAACTTGCTTTTTTTAAATAAAACTTTAACAAAAAATGTATTTTATTTTATATTTTTAAATACTTTATTTGTATTAGTGCCGAAGTTTGGTGCATACTTACTACACAGCCATCTTGCTCCATAGTACGTAATGCAGACTGGAGGTTTAGAAATCTTCAAGACACATTGCTGTGAGCTTCAGCACACTTATTATTGCTACCTAATAATAATATTCGTAAAGTATGGTGTTCATTTTATGAAATAGATCATATAGAATTATTAATATTAAATATATGTTAATTTATATTAAATAAATATATGTTAATGAAATATTTTATTAAGATGCTTATCACAATGATATTTATATAATGGTAAGTTAATCAAGGGATAGGTGAATTGAAGTTCTCAATTTTCCATATTTTCTTGTTTATTTCTTTAAAAATTCAAATGATTTTTTCGCGAAACCAGAGAGACTCCATCCCGGTTTTTTGGCTACCACTGGAGTTTCTGGTTCTGCAACTGATACTTCAGGGGCTGGAGTTTCTTTTTCTGATGGGACGTCTTGTCCAATAGGAGCTGGAGTTCCTTGTTCTGTCGTTATTTTTCAGTATCTGCTGTTGTTATTTCTTCTGTAGGTTTGTTTGTTGCTGGAGTTGGAGGTGGTGTTGTTTTTGGTGGTAGAGTGGTCGTTGACGTTGGGGGTGGAGGTGGATTGGTTTTCGGTGCTGGTGGTGGAATGGTTGTTGGTGTTGGGAGTGGAGGTGGATTAGTTTTCGTTGCTGATTGTATTAGTGTTTGAGGTGGAGTAGTTTTCTGCTGTAAGGTGGTTGCTGGGGCTGGAGGTGAAGTGGTTGTCGGTGTTGCTTATTGAGGGAATGGATTTAGATGCTATAAACAAAAAATGTGTATTAGTAAACATGCATGTGTATATATATATATATATATATATATATATATATATATATATATATATATATATATATATATAATAAAGTAAATATGTATATAATACTGTCATCATTTATAAGTTATTACAACAAGTAGGGAGTAGAAGTATGAGTAATAACTTCCAAATTAAAAACTTTTTAGTGACCAATACGTCGAAATACTTAAGGCTCCAATTGGTGGTTCTGATCGCGTCCAAGTTATAAACCTGCATCTCCTTCGGTGTACCAATCTATCACTGCTATTGCCAAATTCATAGATATTAGGCGAAATTTTGACTCTCAGGCAGACAGAGAAAAATAAACAAAATATTAGTGTCAAATAAACTTGGGTAATAATCATGGAAGAGTAGATTCCGAAAGTAAACAAAACAACCAAGTAAACAACAACCGGTGTGAATCATCGAGAACAAAGAGAGGAAAAGGATTAAAACCGTAATAAATAACGTAGTGGGCAGACACTTAGCAGCCAAGTAGCTTAATATCTGTGCTAGTGGGCGGTGCTGAGGCTGTCGGTGTGTCCCTGGCCTGAGGTGTCCAGACGGTAGATATAAGAAGTATGATGGGAGTTGTTAGTTCGGTAGAAGAAATTTTCAGGGAAGTATTGACGGCGGAAGGAGTGGACAACTCACTTTAACTCACTATACACTTGTATAATAATAATAATAGTAATAATATTATAATAATAATAAAAGGCTTAGCGAACCCGAAGGTTCGATGCCGACACCCATCAATCGAGAATGTTTCCCACAGAGAATGTTTTCGTTTAAATAAATGGGTATGTCTACCATCTTCAACTATTAACTCTCTATATAACTCACTATATGAATGCGTGATCTTAAAATCGATAATGTTTTCATAAAAACATATTCAAGCATGCATTCTTCAATTCGATATTGTTTACATAAAAAAAAAACGCCTCCTATATAGTAGTATATAGTATAGTAGTAACTATATAGTAGTAATAGACCCTTATATCGCTGAATTTCGAAAAGATTTTTTACAAATTCATACACTTGTAATAGACACTATAAAAATTTTGTATGAATTCGTAAAAAATCTTTTCGAAATTTAGCGATATAAGGGTCTATTACTAGTATAAAGGAGGCGTTTTTTTATGTAAACAATATCGAATTGAAGAATGCATGCTTGAATATGTTTTTATGAAAACATTGTCGATTTTAAGATCGCGCATTTACACAGTGTGTTATATAGAGAGTTAATAGTTGAGATGGTAGACATACCCATTTATTTAAACGAAAACATTTCCAACTTCGAAAACTATTCCAGATTGTATCTAAATTGCTTTACTTAATTTAACACAGTCTTAACTAAAGATATTAGATTTTGTGTGTGCAAACATGTAGTTATAATTAAAAAAGATTAATTACCTTCAAATCCTCTATTGCATCAGCAATGTATTTTTGACTATTCTTAATTTGTTGGTTCAAAACAGTTTTCCCCATGTTAGCACAGTTGTTGGCTATCGTCGATGCAACTAAGAAGGGATTACCAGTGAGGATAGCATTTATATTTGACTTGATGTTTCCTGCTATCTGATTGATGTTACTTATAGCTTGATCAGAAACCAATTGGACGTTCTCTTGCTGATGTTTAGCAACAGAACTGATGAAGCCACTGATCGAGAAGGCATTGCTGCATACCGCCAAGCCGACGAGGACAGCAAAGATTGACAACTTCATGGCTGTGATAACCGGGAACGATTGACACCTTCTGGATGTTTTAGACTTTTTATACTTATTCAAAGAATGGCGATGTTGATCTGTCAATATTTGGATGATTGTTTACTAGACAAATTAAATACGAAATATTGGCTTATTAGTTGAAATGCATATAGTACCATACAATGTTGCCAATTCAACTACCAATATCTATTATTTCATAAAGTTTCGTTATTGAACTTATAGATTTAAGCCATCACAAATCATCACTAATCACATGGAAAGTAAACTGGAACAACTTTCATCATGACCTAGAAAACAATCTAGATTTAAATACTTCGTTAAAATGCAGATTGATTCTGCTATTGAAGAATTCAAAAGATCTATAGAAACCACCATCAATAACAACACATCACACCCCAAAACTAGATATTACTGAGAAACTAATTTTCAAAATCATCATAGCATATTAGTAACAGAGAAACTTCGGGCAATAGCCAGGTGGCATAAAACCAGAAACCCATCGTCGTAAACATACTATACCTTCTCCTACAGTATCCTTTAACAGTATTCCACTGATCACTTTCGAACTGATCCGTTATCTAGGATTCCTTCTTGACAAACGCCTTACTTGCAATCCTCATACTAGACTGAAAAGACAAAAAACTGGCAATAGATTGCGACCACTACAACGCTTACATGACAAAACAATCTAAACTTCAAATATTCTAAAAAAAAAACTCATATACATTATCATCATTAAATAGGATTAAGATATGCGGTTCCAAAAAATCATCAAATTCTTCCCGTATCCAATCCTACAACCCAAAGCCCTCCGTAAAATCTGGAAACCAAATTTGATCTTTGATGTCTGAAACGTAAAACGCGGGTGAAAATTTTCGATTCTGAGCATAATTTTTAATTTTTTAATCTCTCGCACGAGTACGAATACTAGTACAAAGCTTCTCTACCTTCGGTAATAAGGAAACAAAATATAATTTTCTCATATCTTCTATTGCTTGACTTAAATATTTGCATTACATTATGATTTTACATATCCTTAAAATTCTTCTTCTTAAACCATTGTATATTGGATATTTAATTAATATATGATAAAGTGTCTCTTTTTACATAGTATTGATTATTTTGCACTCAAGTTGTAGAATAATTTTTACTATTTTAGACGGATCTGCAATATTAATCGGGTATATTTGAATTGGTACTTCTTCACTAGCCGGACGGGACTGACTGCTATCTGCCAAAGTTTATAACCTGAGCACTGATAATTCCGATAAGGCAGTGATAATCCTTCTCGGAATTCCTATCTTCGTATTATTGTATTATATTCGTATTATTGAAAGTGCAAACAGAAACAAAATCAAATGTAATAACAAAAAAAATACTTTTATTTTAAGACACATATATTAATGAAATAATAAAAAAAACACTTAACGAACATATGTACATATAAAAGATCAAAATGAATTAATAAAAAACACTTAAAGCACATCTGTACATATAAATGATGAAAATGAAATAATAAAAAAAAAAAAACTTAAAGAGCATATTTACATATAAAAGAAAAAAATATCAACACTAAACGACATATGTACAATTTATTTTCGCTTCGTCTTATTTATTTTGGTAAGCAAAACAGTTTTATGCTATTTAAAATAGCGTGGATCAGGTCCTCTTCTTTGTGAACCCGCCGCCACAAAAATTCACATAAATATGAATCGAGGTGTTGTCTGGCAGTTCCTCTATGTATTTTATTTCTCCACTCAGCTGAGCCCCATAATCGTTCTATGTCTTTAGTATGAACCCCAGTTGATGGATTGACAAAATCATACCGGTGGATTCACTTGGAAATAGTCATGGTTTGCTCCGTTCAGTTGTCGGGTGTTGTAGCCTTTCCAACAGTCCGAATAAATGGTCGTTCCCTCTTCTATATTGTCTTTAATTGCTTGTAATAAGGTTGTTGCATTTCTGTCATTTATTTTGACCCAGTAAATCCCAGAATGTAACAAGATTCATAATTTGACGAAAATAAACTAAAAAAAAAATGAAAAATTAACACAAACGGACCAAAAATAAAGAATTTAATAAGTGAACGTAATAAGGGAAGAATTGAAAAATAAACAATGTAATAAATGAAAGGTTTGGGTGGATAAGAAGAGGGAGGTTATGTGACATGACATTAGATTACATAGATGAGAAGTGTGGTTACTACCCGGCCTGCTAGTGAAGTAGTACCTTTGAAATTAGTCAGCATCAACAAAAGCTGAGCTATGCAACGTTTTCTTATCATCCTCTCCCGTTCATGTTTTCTTATCCCGGTTCATGTTAGAAAATTATTTATTCTGTTTCATTGGCTGTGGGGCGACCCTGGGTAGGTAGACCCTCCTGGGGCACACCCAGTCTCTATAAAGTTGGTTCACTTAATTAAATAATTGTTTAAGGGGGAAAACCTGGCGGTAGAGCGTGATCTCGATCAAATCACCTCCTTGCACAACCGTTGACCTAGAAACAGTGCTTTCCCTAAATAGTACTGAACCCAAGACCCTTGATGGATTGTAGTGGTACAGGTTAATAAAAGTTAAGGTTAATGGCTGAGTTGGTTTCATAAATTATATCTTCTTCACCAATAGTATCTAACAATATTTTCAGCTGAACACACTACTTATTTTTCGACAGAGCAAGATTAGATTGCTAACATTTGTTTCTTAGCTTTTCGAAACATATTTTATGCTATCTAAATTCCTCCATTTATACATAGACCCTGTTTCTAAGCTAATTAAAACGTCTGGGAAGGATTTACAATGCAAACATGTCGTTTTATAAAAAAATATGTCGTTTTATAAAAAAATATGTCGACCTTTTCTAAGAGCTCTATGTATCGGAGACTTCATACTAGGGCACAATATAGCAAAGATGTATTAATGATAGCTTTTTCACAACTCTTCTCTGGCCTTCCATGAGTTCGTTTTAACTTTTAAATTAATATAATTTAATACTTTTAATTTATTATCATCATTGTAAACCTGTAAAGATATTTTTATTTAGAAGGAGGGAAGGTAGGAGAAATAAAAACAATCGGGCTTTTGAAATAAAAATTTATTCTTTAAAAGTGTTATATCAAAACTAAAGGCTTAGTCATTTATTTCTCCAACATTTCTTACATTACTCGGGCAGTTCTAGTCCTTTTATTTTTTATAAGGTGGAACAGTGTCCGGTATATGTAAATAAATCAAGAGTTTGCTTTCCACTTCAAACAATTAGAATAGTGTAGTTTTATTTAGGCGTTGATTGGTGCGCGAATATACGGAAAAAAGAAGAGAAATTGTAATGGCCTCCTATTAAGTAACCACTTCTTTAACAACGATGATATAGACCAATCCTGTTTTGCCATGAGCGGAAGAGGAAGCATATTTTCATAAGCTTCTTTATGAGAAATAATAGATCCACTAGCTGATGGTATTGTAAGTTTTTCAAATTCATTAATGGTTCCATAATTTGCTGGTGATTTTGAAATATGGGTCTTTTCGAAATCACCAGCGTTTCCTATCTGATTTTCATGTCCAATCGTAGAAATTTCACTTTTTTCATACGGTAACTTTTCTTTAGAAGGGAAAATGGTTTCATTTTCTGATAATACTTCAGGCCTTTCTGATTTGCCTATCACTGTTAGTTTGTCTGAAGAAGCTGTATTTTCATTTTGGTCTAATGGTCCATCCGCCATGGTATCTGTTTGAGGAGTGGTAGAGCTATCAAACATCCCTTCGCTAGTTCCAGACATTTCTGGTTCAGTCTTGCAATCCGATATTAAAGATGCATTTTCAGCATTTGTTGATGTTGCAGGGGATTTCTCGACGTCAACTGTACTTTCAGTAGCACCAGTAGATTGATGGTCAGTTGGTGAGCCTTCTGTAGAAGCAGAAGGCTTTGGATCCGTAGCTGTGCTTTCAGCACCATCAGGAGATTGCTGGTTAGTAATTGTGCTTTCAGTAGTATCAGAGGGTTGTTGGACAGTAGTTGTGCTTTTAGCAACATCAGTAGACTGCTGATCGGCAATTGTGCTGTCACTAGTAGCAGAGTGTAACTGGTCAGCAACGGTACTTTCAGTAACAGCAGGAGATTGTTGGTTAGTAGCTGTGTTTACAGTAGCATCAGAGGATTGCTGGACGTCAACTGTACTTTCAATAGCAGCAGGAGATTGTTGGTTAGTAGCTGTGTTTACAGTAGCATCAGATGATTGCTGGACGTCAACTGTACTTTCAATAGCAGCAGGAGATTGTTGGTTAGTAGCTGTGCTTTCAGTAATATCAGGAGATTGTTGATCAGCAATAGTGCTTTCAGGTACAGCAGGAGATGATTGGTTAATATCTGTGCTTTCAGTAATATCAGGAGATTGCTGGTAAGAACCTGTGCTTTCAGTAACACCAGGAGATTGTTGGTCAAGAACTGTACTTTCGGTGACACCAGGAAGTTGTTTGTCTACACCTATAGTTTCAGTTGCAGAAGAGGGTTGTTGGACAGTAGTTGTGCTTTTAGCAACATCAGTAGACTGCTGATCGGCTATTGTGCTGTCACTAGTAGCAGAGTGTAACTGGTCAGCAACGGTACTTTCAGTAAAAGCAGGAGATTGTTGGTTAGTAGCTGTGTTTACAGTAGCATCAGAGGATTGCTGGACGTCAACTGTACTTTCAATAGCAGCAGGAGATTGTTGGTTAGTAGCTGTGTTTACGGTAGCATCAGATGATTGCTGGACGTCAACTGTACTTTCAATAGCAGCAGGAGATTGTTGGTTAGTAGCTGTGCTTTCAGTAATATCAGGAGATTGTTGATCACCAATAGTGCTTTCAGTTACAGCAGGAGATGATTGGTTAATATCTGTGCTTTCAGTAATACTAGGAGATTGCTGGTAAGAACCTGTGCTTTCAGTAACACCAGGAGATTGTTGGTCAAGAACTGTACTTTCGGTGACACCAGGAAGTTGTTTGTCTACACCTATAGTTTCAGTTGCAGAAGGAGATTGTTGGTTAATATCTGTGGTTCCAGTAACACCAGGAGTTTGTTCGTCTGCACCAGTGCTTTCTGTAACACCAGGGGATTGGTGGTCAGCAGCTATACTTTCAGTGACACCAGGAGGTTGTTGCTCTGCACCTATAGTTTCAGTTGCAGAAGGAGGTGGTTGGTCGGGAACGATGCTTTCAGTAACACCAGGAGGTTGTTGGTCAACAACTGTACTTTCGGTGACACCAGGAAGTTGTTGGTCTACACCTATAGTTTCAGTTGCAGAAGGAGATTGTTGGTTAATATCTGTGGTTTCAGTAACACCAGGAGTTTGTTCGTCTGCACCAGTGCTTTCTGTAACACCAGGGGATTGGTGGTCAGCAGCTGTACTTTCGGTGACACCAGGAGGTTGTTGCTCTGAACCTATAGTTTCAGTTGCAGAAGGAGATGGTTGGTCGGGAACGATGCTTTCAGCAACACCAGGAGGTTGTTGGTCAACAACTGTACTTTCGGTGACACCAGGAAGTTGTTGGTCTACACCTATAGTTTCACTTGCAGAAGGAGATTGTTGGTTAATATCTGTGGTTTCAGTTACACCAGGAGTTTGTTCGTCTTCCCCAGTGCTTTCTGTAACACCAGGACTTTGTTGGTCTGCACCAGTGCTTTCTGTAACACCAGGAGGTTTTTGGTCTGTACCTGTATTGTCAGTTTCAGGAGGTAGTTGGTCTGTAGCTATGCTTTTATTAGCATCAGGCGTTTGATTATTAATATTTGTGCTTTCAGTAACAGCAGGAGATTGCTGGTGAGCAAGTGCGCTTTCGGCAACAACAGGAGTTTGTTGGTCTGCAACTGTTGATTCAGTTGCAGAAGCAGATTGTTGGTCGGTAGCTATGCTTTCAGTAGCAGTAGGAGATTGTTGGTTAATGTTTGTGCTCTCAGTAACACCAGGGGGTTGGTGGTCTGCACCTGTACCTTCGGTAATACCAGGAGGTTGTTGGTCTGCACCTGTAGATTGTTGGTCACTATCTGTGCCTTCAATAATATCAGGAGATTGCTGGTTAATATCTGTGCTTTCAGTAACACCAGGAGTTTGGTGGTCTGCTCCTGTGCTTTCAGTAACACCATTAGGTTGTTGGTCAACAACTGTATTTTCGGTGACATCAGGAGGTTGTTGATCTATGCCTATAGTTTCAGTTGCAGAAGGAGATTGTTGGTTAATATCTGTGCTTTCAGTAACACCAGGAGTTTGTTCGTCAGCACCAGTGCTTTCAGTAGCAGTAGAAGATTGTTGGTTAATATCTGTGGTCTCAGTAACACCAGGAGGTTGTTGGTCTGCAACTATAGTTTCAGTTGCAGAAGGAGATTGGTGGTCAGCAACTGTAGTTTCAATAACACCAGGTTCATCTGCACCAGTGCTTTCTGTAACACCCGGAGATTGGTGGTCAGCAACTGTAGTTTCAGTAGCAGCTTGTGATAGTTGGTCTGCTCCAGTGCTTTCAGTAACACCAGGAGGTTGTTGGTCAGCAACTGTACTTTCCGTAACACCAGAATGTTTTTGTTCTGCACCTGTAGTTTCAGTAGCAGAAGGAGATTGTTGGTTAATATCTGCGCTTTCAGTAGCAGAAGGAGATTGTTGGTTAATATCTGTGCTTTCTGTAATATCAGGAGATTGCTGGTCAGCAACTGTATTTTCAGTTGCAGAAGGAGGTTGTTGATTGGTAGCAATGCTTTCATTAGCAGCAGGAGATTGTTGATTGATATTTGTGCTATTAGTAATTTCAGGAGATTTCTGGTCAGCAACAGTGCTTTCAGTAACATCAGGAGATTGCTGGTGAGCAACTGTGCTTTCGGCAACAACAAGAGGTTGTTGGTCTGTACCTGTAGTTTCAGTAGTAGAAGGAGGTTGTTGGTCGGTAGCTATGCTTTCAGTAGCAGTAGGAGATTGCTGGTTAATATCTGTGATTTCAGTAGCGGAAGGAGATTGTTGGTTAATATCTGTGCTTTCTGTAACATCAGGAGATTTTTGGTCAGCAACTGTATTTTCATTAGTAGCAAGAAATTGTTGGTCTGCATCAGTGCTTTCTGTAACATTAGGTGGTTTTTGGTCGGCAGCTGTAGTTTCAGTTGCAGAAGTAGGATTTCGGTCGGGAATCATGCTTTCAGAAGTAGCAGGTGATTGTTGGTCAAAATCTGTGCTTTCAGTAATATCAGGAGATTGCTGGTCAGAACCTGTGCTTTCAGTAACACCAGGAATTTGTTGGTCTGCTCCAGTGCTTTCAGTAACACCAGGAGGTTGTTGGTCAGCAACTGTACTTTCCGTAACACCAGGAGGTTGTTGGTCGGCACCTATAGTTTCAGTTGCAGAAGGAGATTGTTGGTTAATATCTGTGCTTTCAGTAACAGAAGGAGATTGTTGGTTAATGTCTGTGCTGTCTGTAACATCAGGAGATTGCTGGTCAGCAACTGTATTTTCAGTTGCAGCAGGAGATTGTTGGTCTGCAACAGTGCTTTCTGTAACACTATGTGGTTTTTGGTCTGCATCTGTAGTTTCAGTTGCAAAAGTAGGTTTTTGGTCGGGAACCATGCTTTCAGTAGTAGCAGGAGATTGTTGGTTAATATCTGTGCTTTCTGTAACATCAGGAGATTTCTGGTCAGCAACTGTGCTTTCAGTAACAACAGGAGGTTGTTGGTCTGCACCTGTAGTTTCAGTTGCAGAAGGATGTTGTTGGTCGGTAGTTATGCTTTCAGTAGCAGCAGGAGATTGTTGGTTAATGTCTGTGCTTTCAGTAATATCAGAACATTTCTGGTCAGCAACTGTGCGTTCAGTAACGCCAGTAGGTTGTAGTTCTGCACCTGTAGTTTCAGTTGCAGAAGGGTGTTGTTGGTCGGTAGCTATGCTCTCAGTAGCAGCAGGAGATTTTTGGTTAGCACCTGTGCTTTCAGAAGCAGGAGGAATATTTTTTTCGCCACCTGCGCTCTCAGTACCATCAATAGTTTGTTGTTGAGCAGTTGATATTTCAAGAGCAACCGGAGATTGCTTGTTAGCTTCGAGGTTTGTATCAGCACTACCAGCAGGAGATTGTTGATCAGCATTTGTGTTTTCATTTTCTTGGGATATTATTGGTCTCTCAAAGATGACGTCTTTAATATTACCTTGAGGTGGTAGTCCGACAAGAGATAGTGTTCCTTGGTTGTTAATTAGGCTCAAAATTAATTTTATTTTTCCTGTCCCTTCATTTAATATAGCTTTGAGAATGACAGTGGGGTTTTTATTAGCCGACAAGGAATTATGTTCAGAAATTTCTGAGGATGTGTTAGCAATTAATTCCTTATTTGTGGTTACATTATAAGTAGAAACATCAGAATTATTCTGAACTGAAGCTGTATTTTCGTTTTTATTGACCAGTTGTAATAGAACTTCTTTCAGTATAGTTGCTGCATGAAGAGTGGTAGAGTTATCACCATTCCCAAACAAACCGTTTGTTGTTTCAGAGGTTTTTGGCTTAGTCTTCCAATCCGACTCTAAAGATACATTTTCAGCATATGCAGAAGTCAATGGTTTAGAAGTTACGATATCTGCAACTGTTGTATTTGATTTTTCAATTATATTTTTTGAAGCATCGGAAGGATGCTGCTCTGCTGCAGGATTTCCTGTCGCAGCAGTAAGTTTTTGATCAGTAGTAGTTTTTTCAGATGCAGCAGAAGATGGTTGAGTAGTATCTGTATTTCCATTAGGAGGAGGATATTGTTGGTCAGTAACTGTGCCTTCTGTGACATTAGAAGATTGTTGGTCAGCAGGTTTATTTTCAGAAGAAGCAGGTTGTAGATCAACAGCTGTGCTTTCAAAAAGATCAGGATATTGTTGTTCAGAAGGTGTGCTTTCAGAAGAATCAGGAAGTTGCTGATCAGTAGTTGTGTTTTCAACAGCAGCAGAGGGTTGCTGATCAGCAAATTTGCTTTCCGTAATAGCAGGAGGTTGATCGTTCAAAGCTGTGTTTTCAGTAATATCAGGAGATTGCTGGTCAGAAACTGAGCTTTCTGTAACATCAGGATATTGTTGGTCAGCAACTGTACTTTCGGTAACACCAGGAGGTTGTTGGTAGGCAACTGTAGTTTCAGTTGCAGAAGGAAGGTGTTGGTCGGTAGCCATGCTTACAGTAGCAGCAGGAGATTGTTGGTTAATACCTGTGCTTTCAGTAACACCAGGAGTTTGTTGGTCTGTAACTGTGCTTTCTGTAACACTAGGACGTTTTTGGTCTGTACCTGTTGTTTCAGTAGCAGCGGGAGATTGTTGGTTAATATCTGTGCTTTCTGTAGCATCAGGAGATTTCTGGTCAGTAACTGTACTTTCGGCAACATCCGAAGATTTCTGGCCAGCAGGTGTGCTTTCAGTAACATCAGCAGATTGCTGATCAGCAACTGTGTTTTCAGTTCCAGCAGAAGCTTGCTGTCCAGCAGGTGTGCTTTCTATAGCAGCAGAAGATTGTTGTATATCAGAGGTGCTTTCAGTAACGCCAATTGGTTGTTGTTCAGCAGGTGTGCTATCAGTAACATTAGGAGATTGCTGGTCAGCAACAGTGCTTTTAGTAGTAGAACTAGTTTGTTGGTCTGTATCTGCATTTTCGAATTCAATAGAGGATTCTTTTTGAGTAATGGTTGTGTTTGTACTATTAGAGATATTGACGTCTGGCTCTTCAGATTTATTGTGATTAGGTCCAGTTGTTTCTTGATCAGCTGGCGTATCTTTTACCAGTTCAGGTATTTTTATTTTAGCAAATGCAGTTGGATTAGGTAGTTCACCAACTGTGTTTTCCATAGCAGCCAAAAGTAATTTGTCAGCAGTGGGAGTACTTGTAGAGGTATCATCATTAAGTGCAGCAGTTCCTGAATCAGTTTCTGCTGATTTAGACGTTCCTGAATTAGCAATTGAAAATGTAGATGGTGGTGTTTTAGATGCATTTTCATTAGAAACAGTTTCTTCTCCAACATCTGAGTGGTCAGTAGCTATAGTAATTATCGTTTCTGGTGCAGAATTTCCCGTTACATTAGACATTGTTGGTGCAATTTCTACATTATGTATACTGACATGGTATGGTGATGATGAGTGATTTTCAGCAACTGTAGTAGTTTCCGGATTTATTGGTGTACTTTCTTCAGTATAAGGGGGATGCTTTTCTGTGCTTATTTTTTCAGCAACAATTGCAGAGTGTTGTTCAGTATCTTTATTTTCAGAAACAGTGGGCGAGCTAGTATGAGCATTGTTTTTTTCATTTTCGATTGAAACCGAGCTTTTTTCTTTTGTTGGATTAGTAAGAGACATTTCTAGTTTAGCTGTTGATTCTTTTGAAGGATTAGGCATTTTTTGTTCAGGAGGTACTTTAGTTGCATTAATCGTTCCTTCGGTACTTATCGTAACTTTGGAATTAAAACCGGCTTTCCATTCCAAAGTTTTGTGTGAAGCAGGAGATCCTTTTCCTTTTGTTGGTTTATTATTATTTTCAGAAACAATGGAATATTTTGGTGGTCCTGTTGTTGGTTTAGGTACTTTGCCCATGCTAGGTGGTTTCTTTGACGGTTTGAACGGAATTAGATACTGAAAACAAGAATAAAACAATATCTGCAATTATTATATTTCATAATTTTTTTGGTTAAAAAATTATAATCCGTGGTACAAACCCCTTTTTATCGAATTATTAACATCCGGCTGAAACTTCGTAAATAAATTCATCTCATCATAACCTACAAATATTTTATTCACGAAAATTCTTGGAATAAGGGCGTTTTCAATCTGGAGATAGGCAAACTTTGTCTATTTAATTAGGAACTAAAAACTCGTAAATATCCATTTGCTTTCCACTTCAATCGTAAGAATCCACTTTAATCTTGAGCACAAAGTCGAGAAAAATGGTGGCCTTCAAAAATATTGAGCCGTTTGGCCTATATATCCTCGTTATTTTGAAAATTTGGAGGTGTAGGTCACACCAAACGGCTTAATACTTTTGAAGGCCATCTTTTTTCTCAACTTTTTACTCAAGTTGTTTTACGATTAAAGTGGAAAGCAAATGGTTATTTACAAGCTTTTAGTATCTAATTAAGTAGACTAAGTTTGCCGATCACTAGATTGAAAACGTCCCAATTCCGAGAATTTTCGTAAATAAAATATTTCTAGGTTACGATGAGATGAAACTATTTACGAACTTTTAGTCGGGTGTTAATACATCGATAGAAAGAGTTCTGTAGCACTGAACATAACTTAGTCATTCATAAAAACAATTAAGAAGTTAAGCACAAATAATTTTTGATGATTAATTTTGCAAAATTAATATCATATATTACTATTTTTTTGTCTATAGGTCGATTTAATAAAAAAATCATATTAATTTATTGATTATCCTTTATTAATATACGTTTCGAAGAATCTCTGTCTCCCTCTTAAGCATCTAAAATTATATAATTAATATATTATAGATTTTATTCTGAATCAATCATTCTTAATTTTAAAATTAATAACATTTAAAAAAATTATTTAACTTTTATATATATATCGTAATATTTTATTTTACAAATACAAAGTGGGCGGACCATAACGAAGATACGACACTTCTTGTTCTCAGAATTATTTCTCCTTTATTATAGTTACAAATTGGTAATAAGAATAATTATAATTATATAATAATATAAATTGGTGATAAGGTGCGATTTATAATATAGATTTTTAAATAAATTAAAAATGTGTCCAAGCTGTGGATTCGTTCCTTTTATAAAAAAATAATATCATCTGAACTACAGATTAAATGTAAATTACAATTCAGCCAACGAGCATTAGAATTAAATGAACTGTTATATAATTTGTAAAATTGATAAGGGGTAACCTCCTAGTTAAATAAAAATTTAATGTTATTAATTTTAAAATTAAAAATGACAGGTTCAGAATTGAACCTGTAAAATATTGTTTATATTATTTTAGATGCTGAAGAGAGTGACAGAGATTCTCCGAAACATACTTTAATAAAGAATAATCAATGAACTATGCGTTTTTATTTATTTGAATCGACCTAAAACCAATAAATAATTAAAAGATAATTTAGAAAAAAATGGTCAAAACTGTGAAATGGTAAAAAAAAAAATCTTAGTTATTTTGGTTAAAAAAATTATTGCAATGATACAAATACAAGTTTCGTTCACCTTTAGGTCTTCAACTGCATCATGAGCGTATTTAACAGTATTTTGTATTGCTTGCACAGCCATAGTTTTTGCCATGTTCACTGAGTTCTTGGATGACAACTGAACAGCCCCAAGGACGTCACCATTAAGTGAAGCCTGCTTGAAGTCCTTCATGTGTCCATGCATGAGATCGATGTTGTTTGTGACCTGGGTTTTCTTTTGCTCGATATTTTCCTTGGCGTGGTTTGAGACAGATCCGAAGAAGCCACTGATTGAGAAAGCATGACAAGACGGGGCCAAGACGACAAGAAGAATCGCAGCGACAGCCTTCATGATCAACATGGCCTGTGACGTCTGATATCACACGATCGGTTTTATATCCATTTTTGTCGATTTAGAAAATATTAATTTTAATGAGCTAATATTTACATCCTCATTAGCCCACCGTTGAACGGTGGACTTTCGATTTGAATAATTAAAAGTTTTCGGAATATTCAAAGCAAATAATTGCCTATGTGATATGAATGATTCAGATTCTGGCTCATTAACTACCAGAATACGAAACCTGGAGAAATGCCAATGAAGGGGGTATGCACACATGTCCATTAACAAAGAAATATTCAAATTCAGATAATTTGACAACTGTATTAAATGATAAATACAACTAGTAAATATGAAATAAGTAACTTGACATTTACAACATGAAGAGAAACTACCCATTGGTAGCACTCCAATTATATTTCTATATTAGAAGGTCCCGAGGCCATCTTCTTTTCAGACGCCTCGGAGGGTTATCAGGAATAGAAGAAGAAACAAGGTTGGAAAAGGGTTCGGATGGTTCAGAAGTGTATTATGGAAGGATAGCTATCTGGATTGAGCTAAATCGGAAAAATATGGTACATTAAGGTCGTTATGGATGATTTTATTTGTGAAAAACTAGGGAGCATTGAGTATTTTACGAAGGATTTTGGATTGTAGATATTGGATACAAGAGAAATTTGATGGTTTAGTAGAGCTCCAAAGCTCGAACCCGTAAGTCCAAATAGGCCTTATTGGAGTAATATATATGAGTATTTTGTAAATAGTTGGAAGTTTGGAGCGTTTGTCTAGTAAGTGCTGCAGTACTCGAAAACGTCGGGCGGTTTCAGGTCATTTCAGTCTGGTATGGGGGTTCCAAATGAGTCGTTTGTCCAGGTGGAGTCCTAGGTATCGGATTTGTTCAACAGGGATAAGTGGGCTATTGTTGAAGGATACTGTAGGACAGGAAGTCATAGGTTTACGACGAATAGCAAAGATAGTTTGCTGGAATTTATTTTAATCCTCCAGTTTTAACACCATTTTTCAAGACTTGTGATGTGTGATTAAAGAGTTAGGGATGCAATAGATGGATCGTTATTAACTGATAGGGGACACGTGTCATCGGCATAGGTGGTGATGGCAGTGTTCGAATTAACGATTTAATATGGAAATAACTAATGTAATGTATTTATTTCCGGGAGGAATTGATTAAACCTGTACGACTACAACTGTTGAGGGGTCTTGTGTTCAGTAGTTAGTAAGGGAGTACTGTTTCAAGACTAACGATTGTGCAGATGTGATCAGACCGAGATCATGTTCAACCGTAAGTTTTTTTTACTCTTTATTGATTATTTAATTAAGAGTATCCATTTTATAGAGACTGGGTATGTCCCAAGAGCGTCTTACTAAAGTAAGAATCTATAACAGCTGATGTAAATTTAGATGGGTGTGCAAAAAGTTGAATTTTTCCTATTAAGTATATATCACTACTGTTAGTGCAAAAGATCGTATGTAAATAGTTTCAACTTCTATTTGTGCTAAAGGTGAAATTTTGTAGTCTGCAACTGATATAAAGCAGTCTGCTAGAATGGAAAATAGCAGAGAGCAATAAAATATGAATTAATACAAATAAACCATAAAGAAATAATTAGTTCTTATGCACTCCTGTAAAACGAATCATCAAATATGCAATCTGCTAATACAGAACTCTTCCACATTTTAGTATTCAATAACTAAACCCATATAAGTTGAGGGATTATTGAATTTCCGAAAACGGCTTCTCCCAGAGATTTTATTCTCATACGAAAAATGTTAGACCTTGTAATATAGATATTTTTTAGTTAATGAAAAAGGTGAGGAAGCTATACTGACCTTACTTGGTAGGCGTTTTTTCTAAGGCGCGAGTCCCACAACCATAAATTAGAACTGGCTTTATCATAGTATTACACAATCTTAATTAGAGGATTTTGTAATTTCAATGCATTTGATAAGGAGTAGAAAGTTCTGTTCACGCTTGTTATTCGATGTGCTTTTTCAGACAGTTGGCCATTCATTGAGATTATTATGGAGTGAAATATTTGAATTTTTCTACTCTTCTTTTCGATTTCACGATTTCTCTTCAATGCAGATCTCGTTATTGGATTATTTTATTTTTATATATTTTGTTATTTATATGTTTTGTCTTCATTTACTTGTAGGCTGATTTGCTCTACTTCTCTTATGAGAGTCTTAGCGAGTTTCTCTATGTCCTCTTGGTTATTTCCAAGGACAGCTATAATATTTGAATTTCCAAGGATTTTATGATTCATTCCATTTTCTTATGATGTCGTTCTTATCTCCTCCTCCAGCGCTAAGTTGAACAACATCGGTGATAGTCCATCTCTCTGCCATAAGCCCGTTCGTATTTGGAAGGCTTCAGATATTCCTTTTATTAGGAATCGACCTTTAGCGCCATTTGTACGCGCCTTTGTCAATTCCATCAACTAGCAGAGAACTCCTAGTTCAGTCATGAGTTTCCAAAGGCAGTTTTTTTCCACAGAATTATGGGTTGCTTTGAAATCGACAAATAAGAAGTGGACATAAATGAACTAAGGACCTCAAAGCAAGAAAATAATTTCCTCTGAAGATATGTCTCCAAACGCTTTGTTTAGGAGATGTTCACACCTAAAGATTTTCGTTGTTATGAATTATTTAAGTTATATGTAATAAATAAAACCTATTTATTTGTTCTAACTACTTTATTAATTAAATGTAAACATTAAAATTCATATTAAATGTTGTTCATAATCCACAATTATGAATCATCTCTTGTCACAGAAAAATCTCAATGCAATTCATGAGCATCATTTTCAGTGCAATGTGTGGTTGGGGATAATAGACAATATTTTAATAGTTCCGCGTTTATTGCCTCCTTGATTCAATGTTGGCACATTTCTGGAATTTTCTAATAATGATTACTATGATTTAGTTGAACATATTCCACTACAACTGGCCTCAATTAGATGGTTGTCCTGCTCATTAAGGATCCACAACAATCAATGTGTTAATTATTCCAATCGATGGATTGGTTGTGCATTACCAGTGGCTTGGCCTGCCCGCTCTGCAGACCTGACACCACTGGGTTTTTTTGTTTTGGGTGACATTAAACAAAAAGTCTATGGAAGTCCGGTCAATGACCTTAATTCCTTACGAAGAAGGATGATTGAATCTTGTGAAACAATGACACATATCCAGTGCCGTTCTGCCACTGCTGCTGTTGAAGAAAGATGCCGAGCCTGTCTTAATGCTCAAGAAAATCACTTTGAATAACATTAAATATGAATTTAATGTTTAAGTTTAATAGGTAATAGGAACAAATAAATAAGTTTTATTTACTTAATATAACATAAATAATTCATAACAATGAAAATCTTTAGATGTGAATATTTCCTAAACAAAGCGTTTGCGGTCATACTTTCATAGGAATTTTCTTCTTTTTTTTTGAGGTCCTTAATTCATATTTTCAGTTTGGCCACTTAATCCTGAAACACCTTGTATAGTTCTAAATCCATATTCATTAAGTTAAAGTTACACAGAGTAAGCAGACTTACTATTAATTCCTACTAGTCTAAATGAAGTTTAAAATGGATTTTTTAAAATTTTTAATAACTGCAGTATTTATCTAAAAAATATTGTATTTTGATTTTCTTCCAAAAAGCAATTAAATTTATCATTAGATAATAAATTATAATAATGAAAAAAAAAGACCAAATATCAAATAATATAAAATAAACTTTAATCAGTGCATATTCCTACTGCTTTGAAGTGCTACATACCGAATAAAATAATTTCTTCGTGTATTATACACAGTGCTTGCCTTAGACATTCGGTGCCCTCGGACAATGATGTCACCTCCTCCTCTACTAAAAAATTAAATGTCTTAAGTTGTTTTATATTATTTAATGTTTGAATTTTATTTCATTCAACATCCCTTATTACATTTATTGATAGGCTGAAACTAATTATTTTAATAAGTTTTGTATTTTTTTAAAATTTCTCACAAGTGGTGAGCGCCCCTGAAAATTGCCCGGCACCGTGGGGCAATTGCCACCATAAAGCTAGCACTGATTATATATTCCTAGTGTTTTACTTTATATTAAGAGAAAAATAGTTCTCAATCTTTTAAAATAATTTTACAGTGCATAAATTTACACTATATTTACGTATAAGCTCTCATTTTTTCTAATAATTCCATTCATAACAATATTGACTTCACTGTAATAAAAATAATATCTTAGATGCCAAGAGGCTCACTGAGACATTCATTTTTTTTTTTCATGAAACAATTTACATTTAATTTAACATAAAAAGAAACTAAAGAGACGAGTGAAATTTCATTAGGAACCTTATTAAATATTGTACTGCACTCAGTAGTTTATCCAGTCGAGTTAAACCAAAGTAGTATCTTAAAACATTATATAAATAGTTGTTTGTTTAATATTTTATAGAGGATAATTTACTTTTCTAACAAAAAATATTTTCTTATATTTATAAAACATAAAATTGTACAGCACATCTATAGATTGTTTGTGATTTTATTGCATTTATTTTATTTTTAAATTATTGGATTGGTTATAAAGTTTGAATTATAGCAATTGAATATGGTTATGAAAGTGATTTTTATTTTAAATTTTATACCAATCTTTCCCTAATAAATTTCAGAATCATCCCAACCCTCTCGTTTCTAAGCTTGCTTCCTCTTCAATTCCTGATAATTCTTCGAGGGGTCTGAAAATAAGATGGCCCCATGATCTTCTAATGTAGACATATTATTAGAGTGCTACTATTGGGTAGTTTCTCTACAAGTGTTTTCACGTCATTATATCCATATGTACAAATTTACTACATGTATTTATTTAATATAATACAGTTGTAAATATCATTTAGAAATAAAAAAAAATAAAAAATAAAATTTTAATACACTGTTCATAGAAACCACATACACAATGAACTATTGTATTGTATTTATAATAATTAAATAAAAACAAAAGAGATCTGCTTGTCCA